GCCCCCCCCCCCCCCCCCCGCCTAGCCGTTGCCGCAACCAACACACTAGCACCATCGCCCCGACGACCCGCAGAGAGCACAACGTACGCTTGCATTGTACACGCGCGCGCGCACACATGGGTAAATAGACAGATAGAGATAATGGGCGAGTGAGACGAGGACGGGGGAGGGTGATGGTGGGGGCGGCGGCGGGGATTACGCGCGGTTGGCGCGGCAGTCTCGTCTCCCTCCCGCCGCCGGCAGCCAACAGTCGCCAGCTCGTTCGTTTCGCTCAGCCAGCCGAATGCCAGTGAACGCACGAGCGACGAGCCATCGCGCAAACGCCAATCGGAGCAGACCGCGACGACGGCAGTCCCTAGTTGTGGAGCAGCGGTGCGTCAGTGCAAAGCCGTCGCCGAGTATTAAGTGACGTATTCCCGTTGCCGCGGATTTAACACCACCAGTGTAACGCCAACTCCGCGCCGCCGGCCATATTAAAAGAGCAGCAGCCCTGTGTGCTCTCCTCCGTCCCCGATAGTCGCACGTGCGCGCACACACAGAGAGAGAGAGAGAGAGAGAGAGACAATCGGAGAGAGCGATCCGACTTCCCACCGTCCCCTTGGCTACCGCTCTTTAAGCCTACGTTAAATACAGCGACGCGTGGGTTGGGAACGATCGACCGCGTGCCTCTCTTCGATCAAGTTCTCAGTGTCGAGAGTACGGCTGCTTGGCACCCGATGCCTCGCGCACCTTTCTATCCCTACTTGTAGAACGGGATAGCGGCAGCAGCAGCAGCAGCAGCAGCAGCAACGGTGTAGCATCGGAGGAGGAGGAGGCAAAGGCGGAGGTGGAGGTGGTGGTTGCGGTGGCGGTGGTGGCTGTGGCGGTGGCCGCGGTAGCGAAAAAGTGCGAAAGGAAAAAACGCGACGCTCGTCGATAGTGTCTCCGATCATGTCGTTCGAGTTGCTGAGTAGCGAGGATACGCTGCGGAAGCTGCCCCGCGCCTCTGTCAAATAACAGTCGGTCTAGCTCCGACTGTTGCGACAGACGGGCCCCACTTACGCAATTATCAAGGAGCAGAAACGATCGAGGACCAAGAAAGTACTTGTCGCCCAGTCGTTCCGTCCGCCCACCCACCCCAGCCGTCGAATAATCGTCACGGCTAACGTCACAGTCGCAGGCTGTTTTCTCGCACGTGAGTTTTGTCTCTCCTCCCGTCTCTATCTCTATATCTATATCTCTATCACCTACCTCCCTCCCTCCCTCCCTCCCACCATCCCACCGATCCCTCGCATCACCTTCTTTGACCTTTGATTTCTAGCGTTCATATAATAGATCCGCTGGCGTTTTTCAATCTTTTCAGCTGCTTGCGTACGCGACGCGATGCCGTGCCAGTTGGTCGTCGCGCGATTATTGACTTCCGAAGAGGATCGGAGAAAGTTGAGCGAGCGCGCTTTCGTAACGCATGCGGTTGTTCGTTAACAGAGACGATAGTCCTTCTCCCGGGGAATATTTAAAAATGTACGCCAGCCTCGAAACGGTGGGACCTTCCGTCCCTCTTGTTGGCACGCGATCGCCCCTCTCTTCTCTCCTTACGGCCCCTTATTTACGCGAGATTATTTTCGTGCGGAGTGGAGTGGATGGGGGTGGGCGAGGAGAGGTGTAGCATCGATCGCGGCCAACTGCTCCCAAATCCAAGTTGAAAGAAGAAAGAAGTAAATGTAAATAGGTAGTGGTAGGGCTTTCAACTCCCGCCACCCCGCCACCCGTCTCCCTGCTCCTCACCCCCAACCCCCCCCCCCGCCCCCCCCCCCCCCCCCCCCCCCCCCCCCCCCCCCCCCCCGCCACTCCACGGATAAAGACTCTGCCTTTTGTAACATCGACATTGATAGAGACGAAAAGATGCGTATAACAGCGGTACCCTCCACCTATCTTTATCACACCTTTAGTACACACGCTCTTTCATACGTTCGTTAGCAATCGATAAGTCCACGACGACGACGACGACGACGACGACGACGACGACGACGACGACGACGACGACGACAACGAGCTTAAATGCGTATACAGCTGTGCGCGCAAACATATCGCGCTCCTTACGTTCGTTTAAATCGTTATATATTTTTCTTCGAACCCCTCCCCGCCGACCGCCGATACTGACTCTCAACTTCTGCGCTTCTGCCTTAGCCCCAAACTCTTTCCTTTTGCTTTTCTTTAAAAATCGCACATGTTACGATAAGCCTGACACTCCTACTGTGCAGCTCGCCGCCGTTCCCACAGACGCGTTCTTATTAAATGTACGCGCAACTAATTCCTTCCTTACTTTTTCCTTTCGGCATCGCTACTCGTCCAAAACATCCACGCGTACAACAATATTTACATTAACATCGCAACGTATGCGTATGCACGCGCCTGTATTCGCATGTATACCCGTGCGCCCGTTGCTGTGCGTCTGTGTGCATCGATGCCTAGAGCTTCTCCAGTTAGAGATCGAGTGCGCGCGAAGCGTACATCGGTGTTTTATGACTTGTTGTTGAGGGAATTGCGGCGATAGGTAGGTGCAGACTCTGTGCAATTGTACTTCGACGTAAGATGATGGGTAGTTTAAATTTTCACGTACTTGGCGTAGTGACGAGTGCGATTCGGGTAATGAAACTCTTAGAAAATGCGCTATACGTATGTCGTCGTACATTTACTGAAAAAAAAAAAAAAAATAATAATCTTTCTTTTCTGCTTATTTAGAATGAGAGTGAAAATGAGGAAAATGTTGAAAAATACAAGCTCGTGTATTTACAATTTCATTTGTCTTCTCGCGCGATAATTTTTACACTATTTCATTCGTGACTGTTTTGAAAAATTTACTGCTTTATCACTCAATTTTTTATTTATTTGTTTGTTTTTTTTCC